GGAAGAGACTGGCCATTGAGTCCGTGGGCAAAGAACAGTGCATGCAAAAAGCCACCATCTAGTCTTCGAGAGTCCCAGACAGAGCATTTGAACTTAAATCCAAATGGGAAGGGGAGTCAGTCTATGTCTGAAAGGAAAAGAGAGAGGAAGAGCAGAGTTTAATATTTAAACCCTTCCTGGAGGTGAGAAAATTTTAATTGCAGCAAAAACAACAACAGCAAAAAGATAGTCTGTCTAGGTCCAGGCAGGTAAAGCACTCCTGTCTGCATTCCACCTGGAGCTGCCCGGAAACCAGGGTCTTTCCAGGTGGACCGGGGGCTGCTGTGGTCAGGCGAGGCTCTGGCACGTATTCTGACACCCCGTGCTTCCTCTTCATTCCCTCCCTCTGGGAACAGAGTTTCCAGGGAAGGAACAGAGGGTAAGGGCCAAGCTGTTCGGCAGAAGCCCACCATCACCCTTATCCATTTCACTGTCAGATTTCAGTGACCCATGGTCCGGTGCAATCTGAAAATGTTAAATAAAAATTGTACACAGTGTATTATTATAATCATTCTATTTTATTTGTAGTTTTTGTTGTTACTCTCTTAATGTGCCTAATTTACAAATTAAAGTTCATCATGAGTTTGTACAAATAGGAAAAACACAGTATGTATAGGGTTTTATACTGTCTGAGGATGGGGGTCCTGGAATGTATCCCCCATCAATAAGGGGAAACAACTGTACCAGGACTGGGCTCCAATCTGCATTCTTCAAACAACTACTTAAAAATATAACACCACATACCCATGTCCATAAGACATTATTTTTTATTATTATTATTATTATTATTATTATTATTATTTTTGTCTTTTTCGTTTTTATCGGTACCAGGGATCGAACTCACGATCGCACACTTGCAAGGCAGGCGCTTATGCCACTGAGCTAAATCCCCAGCCCCAAGACATTATTTATAATAAGCAAAAAGCAAACGCAATCTGATTGTCCACCCACAGATAAATGGCTAAACAAATGGGGCACTGCACGTGATGCCAGGGCTGTGACTCCAACCTCTTTTGCAGCAGTGACACCCTTGCCGTTGGTACCATCTGATTTTTGTCCTATGCTATGGCTAGAAGATGGGTTTCTCATTCAGGGCTGGGGTCACATCCGGGTCCTCATGGTTACCAGCCAGGTGCTCTACCATTGAGCTACATCCCCAGTCCTAGATGGATTTTTAAATAATGCACTCCTGGCCTTTCTGGCTCCCAGTCCTGACAGCTGGTGGCTGGACCTCTGGCCCTCGTCCAATGGCTGTGACCATCAGTGCACTATCGCCTGTTACCGCCACAGTTCTAGGAGCTTCTGCTGCCTGTGTTCTGCTCAGGCTGGAGCCTGCCCAGACCAGGGCCCCTCTTCAACCTGTGTCCCTAACACCCTCAGCATGGGAGCAGGTCAGCCACTGTGGGGCTACTGCAGGACCTACCACCCTGCTCATCCTCAGCAGAGGGCAGCAAATGATCCCTGCACTAGGGGCTGCTTTCTAGGACCATGCCTGGCATCACCTCTCTCAGGCTGGGGCCCAGAGCTAGATCCCAGGAAGACTTGAGAAGGAATCGCAGGGAACACCGAGGTTGCAGAGAGGCAGGAAGCCAGAGAGCTGGGTGCATAATGGTCTGATTACTACTATAGGTAACTGTGGCTCAGTCCTGCTGGACCTCTGGACACTGCGTGGAACATGTCCTAGTTACACCCCCCCCCCCCGCCCCGCAGGGCTACAGGCTGCAGAGACAGGAGAAACCCTGGGTCAGAGGCTGGCTGCTGCTGTAGGGAAGGCCAGTGGACATGGACTAGGGGGACAAGAGAAGGAGGTGGGATTACTGATGTCTGTTATTAGGTGGAAAAAGTGACCCTGCACTTCACCTTCAGAGTCCTCTTCTGTGTCATTCACTTCCGCATTTCCCACACAACATTCTCTCCGAGGGTGGAAATTGAGGGTGGAAGCACCACTCAAGAGCACCTGCTGCAGGCTGAGGTTTTGGGAAAGGCTCTGAGGCCGACCAGACGTGCAAGAGGCTAGTCAGAGAGTGCTCTCCGGACAGAGGCTCGTGGAAAAGGGCTGAAGTGGAAGAAGGAGAATGGGTGGGAGGAGACCTGAGATGCAGGTCCTTTTGGGAACTGTGAAACTGGGAGAGACGGAGCTGGGGATTTAGCTCAGCGGCGTAAGCGCCTGCCTTGCAAGCAGGCAGTCGTGAGTTCGATCCCTGGTACCAAAAAAAGACAAAAAATAAAAAAATTTAAAAAAAGAAAGAAAGAAAGAAACTGGGAGAGAGCTAGGAGCCTTTATCCCACCATCCAAGACTGTCACTGGATGGAGGCCACCCCAGGAAGTAGCTGTGCACCGGGGCAGGCAGAGTGTGGGGCCTGTAGCTGAGTAAAGAGCTTCTGCCTCTGGAGGGGATCTAAGGGATGCAGCAGTGCACACAACAGAGCAGCCTTCCTACCACATGGGCTCCTCCCCCATCCGTGTATGGGAGCGGCTTCTCCAGGATCTAGGTGGACCCCTCTTCCCAGAAGAAACCCAAAAGCAAAGAGGAGGCGGAGGAAATCAGCAATGGTGAAGCGACTGCACCTGGTCTCAGGACCCCGCTGATACTCTGCTTCTCTCCTTTTCTAGCTATTCTAGTTCCCTCCCTCTCAGCCAGAAGTTCTGGTCTGCTGTTCTCGGTGGTTTACATAATGGTGTGGCCAAGTCCTTTGTTCGTGGCCACTATGTCCTGAGGCTGGGGATCTGCATGCAGCTATTTACCAGAAAATGAGAAGGGACAAGAGAGTACCAAGAGATGCCCAGCTGAATGGCATGGACATGGAACACATCCTTCCCTGCCCTGCATGCAGCCATGGCTCAGACTCCTAATGTTCAGGGAAAATTGCTCCTGCAGAGGTGGCGATGCCTCTCCTGATCTGCTGGTCCCGGGACATTAGGAGCCCCAAATGCCCAGGTGACCCCTGTTATTAGGTCAGTGAACCTCTTGCTGTCACCTGATAGAAGCTTTTCCCCTTTGCGAACTGGAACCAGTACCTCTGCAGAGCTCAGAGAGGTAGAGGTTAGAAGACAGGATTCCCCAAGTGGATCAATGAATATCATTTCTTTTTCCTATGCTTGGGAAGTTTAGAAGCATTGGTCATTCTGGGTAAGAGTAACGTCTCTCTCTTTCTCAGAGTGGTGTCCAGAAGACCACTCCTACTTCCACTTCATATCTTCTTCCTACTGCCATATCAAAGTCACTGATTTGAAGTACAGACTGGGGCTGAGGATTTAGCTCAGTGGCACAAGTGCGTGCCTTGCAAGCGCGTAGTCATGAGTTTGATCCCTGGTACCAAAATAAATAAATAAAGTGCAGACTATTCTGGAGTGTAGCATCCCATCTTCAAAAAGTGTATCAGTCTGTTTTGCATTACTAAAACAAAATAACTGAGGCTCAGTAGGTATAAAGTAAAGAGGTTTATTTGACTTATCATTCCAGTAGAAAGGGAGCTAGAGACATAGAGAAGGGGGCAAGAATGTAGGGTGTCCTTTCTTTATAACACCTCACTGTCTCAAAAACTTAACTCATTTTGCAAGGCCAGCACTCATCCTTACCAAGGACAGCAATCCCGTGGCCTAATTACCTTGCACCAGGCCCACTTCTTCAAGCTTAGGGAAAACATCTTATTTCCATATAATTCCAAGCTTACAGAAAAAAACTGCAAAACTTGTTCAAGAAATTCCCATATACCCATTATTCCATTTTACCGATTATTTACATCCTCCTCATTCGTGGTAGTTACAGAGTTATAGCAAGTAGTAAATCACTTCTCTTAGAGGAAAGGGGATCAACCCATAACCTTGCATTCCGTATGTTTCTGCTGAAAGACGTCCTATTTGATCTGTGTCGTTGATTCATTAACATTGAGTCTACAGCCAACACATCGTACTTCCTGCCTTAGTGAAGCTCATCTATGCATGTCCCTATAAGGCACCGTGCCACCTTCTGGCACCAGGGGACACCAGGCAGCACTTCAGCACTGCATGTGGGAGCCATTTTAAATGACGACGTCAACAAAAAAGCACAAAACTGAAAAGAATGTGGCAGTAAATGGACCATGAGAAGGACACTGGTTTGCAGCAGGAGAGTTGAGACACAAAGGCAGAGTGTCACCTGTTGCAGCGGGGGGTGGGCAGCAGCAGTCTCAGCTCCAGCAAAGATGACCAAACTTTTTGCCACCCTGCACATGCACATGGTTTTCAAGGTCTGCAGAAGTGCCCCTGGTATTGATTTTTCAAGTTATGAATAAATTTTAGCTAGGGATGAACCTTTAAACACAGAATCCAAGCTGAGTATATTGCTGTACACCTGTAATCTCAGCTCTCAGGGAGGCTGAGAGGCAGGAAGATCCCAAGTTTGAGCCCAGCGTGAAAAGTTAGTGAGACTTAGTGAGACCTTGTACACAAATAAAAAAGTGAAAAGGGCTGGGAATATAGCTCAGTGCAAAAGCTCCAGCATTAGGAAAAAACAAAACAAAACAGAATCCAAGAATAATAAGGATCACACACATATAAAGGTTTGACATGTTAGATAAAAGGATGTATCTTTGGCAATACAAAAATATCTCTGAACAAAAAATGAGATAAAAATCTGAAGCCAGGTACAGTGGTACCCACCTATAATCCTAGCACTCAGAAGGCTGAGGTAAGAGGATTGCCAAGAATTTGAGCTGAACCTGGGATACATAATGAATTCAAGGCCACACTGAGCTATATAGCAAGACATTGTCTCAAAAAAAAATAATATATATATATATATATAAAGACTATCTCAAAAAAAATATAAAGGTCTAGGGATATAGCTTGGTGCAAAGATCCTAGGTTCAATCTCCTGTAACAAACCTGTACACATACACACACACACACACATACATACACAAAATAAGTATAATTCACCACACTTATGTAATGAGGAGGAAAAACTATGCCATCATAATAAATATATTTAATATGGCACTTGACAGAATTCAACAGAAAGAAATATGAAATATATTCAGTCTTCAAAAGCTCATCTTTAAAACTCACAGGTAATATTCTTTTTTTCTTTTCTTTGGAACAGTGTCTCATTATGTGTGCAGGCTGCCCTTGAACGCACTCATGTAGCTCAGGCTGGCCTTGAACTCATGGCAATGAAAGACTAGACGTTTGCTTTTTTTTTTTGAGACAGGAACTTGTGAGTGCAAGTGATGGCTTCTCTTGTCTGGTTTGCTTCTGCTGTTCGGTACTGGGGATGAAGTCCACAGCCATCTATTAGGCCAATTGCTCCATACTCTTATCACTGAGCCACACCCCGGCCCCACACTGGGTAGTTTTGTCCTAGCAAGATAAGAGTGTTTGATCTCACTGGTCCTGCTCATCACTCTGCAGGGCAGCCTAACCAGGGTGGCAAGGAAAGAAAAAAACATAAGCATGGAAATTAGAACATAGGGCGTAGAATGGTCCCCATGAGTGGACAACCTGATCTTTACATAGACTATCATGTACACACACAGGGGAATAATGAATTTAACAACTCACAGGATACAAGGTTACTATAAAAAATCAGTGCTGGGCATGCTGTCTTATTCTTGTAATCTCAACACACAGGAGGCTAAGGCAGGAGAATCACAAGTTTGAGGGCAGCCTGGGCTACCCTATAAGCTCATACCCCACCCTGGCCTATATAGTAACACCCTTCACAAAAAACAAATAAACAAAAAAATCACGTATATTTCTCTAGAAACTATCGTGAAAATAAATTTAAAATTTTTTCACTTATGTGTCTTAGTTACTTTTCTTTTTGCTGAGACAAAATACTCACCCACCAAAATTAAGGGAAGAAAGGTTTATTGTCGCTCATACATTGTAGAGGTTTCAGTTCATACCTGGCTGGCTCCAAGGCAGGGCAACATGGCTGAGGGGCATCAAGAGGAGAAACAGTTCATGGTGGGCAGAAGGCAGCAAAGCGGCTAAGTGGTGAAGCCCCAGCAAGCAATGAACGACAAGCAAGGACCCTCTTTCTGTCCCTTACACCCTGTCTGGGCTACCCACTCTTGTCCACAGAAGGCTTTGGGGGAGGACATCTGCAAGCCCTAACATTATAACACTAAGTGACGTGAAATATTTAGGACTAAATTAACAAAGCTAAGTAAGGCTGTCTACTGAAAAGTACAAAAATCCTGACAAAAGTCAAAGAATAAGTACAGTAAATGGAGAGACATAGCATATTTATGGCTCAGAAGAAAACAAACTATTTATTTGGAATCAAACTAATAGCCACTCTACAACTGGACTATATCCCAGTCCTTTGTTTACTTCTGATTTTGAGGCAGAGTCCTCCTGCGTCAGTCACTGAGCCACACCCCGTGTCAGTCCTCCTGTGTCACACACTGAGCCTCAAAGTTGTGATCTTCCTGGCTCAGCCTCGTGAGTAACTGGGGTTACCGGTGTAACTGGTAGCGAGTCCCTGTCCAAACAATTTAATGTTTTTTAAATGAGCAAAAGATCTGAACAGAGACTTCATCAGAGAAAACATACACATGGCAAAGAAGCACACGAAAAACAATTTGACATTCTGTGTCCTTAGAGGAATTGGAAATTAAAAAATAAAAAAGAATAGAAACCACTACATGTTTGCTGGAAAAGCTAAACCCCCAAACCCTGACAGTATAAAATGCTGATGTGCGAGGGCAGCGATAGCAGCTCTCAGTCATTGCTAATGGGAATGCAAAATGGTACGGCCACTTTGGTAAACAGTTTCTTCCAATGCTAACCATAGTCTTACTATAACTCAGGCTATCACATTCCTTCATATTTACCCAAATTGAATTGAAACGTAGGTGCACAAAAAATAAAACCCTGGAAATGAAAGCTTATAGCAACATTATTTATAATCACCAAAAATGGAAGTGACCCACGTGTCTTTCAATAGGTGAAAAGATAAAGAAGCTGTGGTGGAATACACTTCACCAATCAAAGGAAATGAGCTACCGAGTCACAAATAGATGTGGTGTGGACACTTAGATGTGTACTGCTGAGCGAAAGAAGTGAGTCCGAAGAGGCCACCTACCACATGGCCCCAATAATTGACACTCTAGAAAAGGTGGTCTATGGAGGCAGGGAGGTCAGTGGTTGCTGGGGACTTGAGGGGAGCAGGGGATACGCAGGGGGACTGTGGAGAGCTTTTAGGGCAGTGTGGGCTGTGTAACACTGCATCAGTGGGTTCAGAGACCTGAGAGTGATCCTCAGGGTAAACCATGTACTTCAGGTAATCAGAGGCAGCAGCAGGGGAAACTGAGGGAGAGTGCACTTGGGAAAAGAGACAAGGAAAATTATACTTTTAAAATTAAAAACTGCAGTTTCTGGACACAAGTCCAGTAGAAAAAATTTTTTCTTTTCCAAAGACTCAAAAAGACTGGGAAGGGGGCTGGGGATTTAGCTCAGCTGCATAAGCACCTGCCTTGCAAGCAAAGACTGGGAAATTTCCTTTCACTTCCAACAATTTTTTTTCTTTTCTTTTTTTTTTTTTTTTTTCTTCTTTTAATCAGTACCAGGGATCAAACTCACAACTGCCTGCTTGTAAGACAGGTGCTTATGCCGCTGAGCTAAATCCCCAGTCCCTGCTTCCAACAATTTTTAGCCATTCCCTGTACCAGCACTGGGCCTCTTTTATCTGTGAAGAGACCACCTCGTTTCTCCTGTAAAGTCGGGCTTTTCCTGAGTGGGCCACCACCTGTCCCCCCATAGAAAGTACTGCCACCATTCATCTGTAATCAAATTCCCTCTCTCCATAGAGTCACAAATTCTCTGCAGATTTCCACACCCCAACCCCTCATAAATATCCCCAGCCCTTACTATGATTCGTCTCATGTCTCTGAATGTCTTTTTTGAGTGCATACTTTTAAAATTCTGCCTAATCCCTTTATGCCTCTTTCTATCTTCTTTTTCTGTGATGGGCAGCAGTGAATCTACAACTTACCCCACCGGTAGGGTGAGTTGGATTCCCCCACTGCTACTTCAGGAGCCAAAGTGTTCTAAAAATACTCTATATAAAAAAAACTCCAAACAAACAAAAACAATAAGGATTTGAATTTGCAGCTCAGAAACAACATTGCATCCCGCTGGTCACCTGAGTCAGAGTTATGCAAGTCAGGCAGCCCTCAGCATAATGCTAGGTCCCAGGGGAAACATACCAATCTGGGCTGCAGAGAGGGGACAGCAGCTCTGAGGAAAAGGGGCTCTGGAGACAGCTCAGGAGGACAACTGGTTCTTTTTGTACTATTTCTTTCTAGTTTCAAAGTCCAGAGCAGCTAGCTCAGCAGCCCTTCTCACCTGTGGGTGCCACGTGATGTCCGTAGTACTGTCTTCACAGGCTGACTGAAGGTTAGGGAGAATCTGGAAATATACATTGCATGTGAGCTGTATTAGCTGTGATTGCTTTACCTCTGAGCTCTGGTGTGCCGGGATCAAGCCCTCACTGTGAGTCTTTGGAGGATGCTTCATAGTTAAACCGTGACCCATATCCTCTCCCCATCTGGCCTCCACCTAAGACAAAAAAAAAAAAAAAAAAAGATTCTAGGCATTGCCTGGGCCCAGAGTGGGGTGCAGGGAAGCATCACCATGGCTGAAGGACCATTGCTGGCTTAGAGAACCGTTTGCCTGAGTTCTGATATATTTTGGAGGTCACATACTTCCTGGCAGCTGAAGGGCCCAGGGTGTGGACCTGGGTGTGGGAGGCAGAACTGGAGGGGGAAGAGGTCCCTGGAGATGCAAAGTTCAAAGTCTCAGGAAGCTGAGCGGCTCTGCCATGAAGCAGTGGGACAGAACCTAAAAGGGTCTCTGCTGCGCACACCTGGAAATGTTGCGTAAAATGTAATGCAAACCACTTCTAACGTGTGACAGATTTTAAAGATTAGATGCAGAAGGCACTGGCTTAGTGGTGAGCCCTTGCCTAGCGTGTGCAAGGCCCTGGGCTTCATCCCAAGTGCCACAGGGGAAGAGGAAAAAAACTAATGAACGCATGAATAAATAACTAAGTTTTAAAAATTAAATGCAGCATCAAGCCTTCCTTCCTGTCTCCCTACCTTCCTTGCTTCCTTCTTTTCTTCCTCCCTCTTTTCTTCCTTCCTCCCTCCCTCTCTCCTTCCCTTCCTTCCTCTCCTCTTTCTGCATAGATTTCCATGACCACCACCCAGGTGAGGATATAGGACTGTCCCATCATTTTTGCTCCATAAAAATCACCCTTCACGCAGCCTCTTTGTATTCAAGCCATTCTCTTTTCTTCTGATTTATCTCACTTAAGAGTGTGGTTTCAAGGTACATCCATTTACTTGGGACTGTCTCAGGATTATTGTTTTTAATAGCAGAGTAGTACTCTTTGTATGAAAGAAATCCACCTCTTTATCCATTCCTCAGTTGATGAGCATTTGGGCTGATTCCAAGACTTGGCTCCAAACTGTGCTGTTATATCACTGTGGTCTGATGCTTTTAATTTAGGGGAGAAGACACCCCAAAGGAAAATACCTGGTCAAATAGGACTTCTAGGCCTAGTTCTCTGAGGAATTTCCACACTGATTTTCATAGTGAGGGCACCAGTCTATATGGTACCCCCAACAGTGAAGAAGGTTTCCTTTTCCCCCACGGCCTTATTAGCATTTGTTATTGGTTGATTTCTTGATACTAGCCATTCTTTCTGGGGTGAGATGGAATCTTAATGTTTTAATTTGCATCTCTTGAATGCCCAGTGATATAGAATATTTTTTCACATGTCTACAAAATTCAAGCTATTCTTAACCATAAACTCTATTCTCCACCCATTCTTAGAATGTCCTATGATTGGAATTATTCAGTGCATAGCTTTTGAGACTGGCTGCTTCTCTTAACATGATGTTTTGAGGGGTTGAGGATTTAGCTCAGCGGCATAAGTGCCTGCCTTACAAGCAGGCGGTCCTGAGTTTGATCCCTGGTACCGATTTAAAAAAAAAAAACTGGATAAAAAAACATGATGTTTTGGAAGTCTTCCTGCTACTGTCTACACCCACAGCCCATGGCTTTATACTGCTGTATCTCCATTTATACCCATTCTCCTGTTGAAGGACATTCCAACTGTTTACAGTTTGGCCCTGCCATGTACAATGCTTTTATAAACATTCACATATAGATATGGGTGTGAATTTAAGTCCTTGTTTCCCTTGAGTAACTAATAAGGAGAGAAATTACTAGACCAAATGGTATATGTTTGATTTTATAAGTATTACTTTCCAAAGTGTCAATGCCATTTTGAATTTCTAACCAGGACCTGAAACTCTTGAAACTGTGATGTAAATATTTCTGCCTTTTAGGTGTTATTTTCAGGTTATTTTGTCACAGCTACAGAAAGCTGACTAATACAACTTCTTATTTTATGTTAATTTATAATTGTATCTTCTTACTGTATAGCTTTTTTTTTTTTTTTTGCTGTATAGTTATTAATTGTTCTCTTTGCAGTGTGTGATTTTTTTTTAATCAATACCGGGATCAAACTCATGACTATGCACTTGCAAGGCAGGCATTTATGCCGCTGAGCTAAATTCCCAGCCCCAGTGTGTGATCTTTTTTAACTGAATGTCTGGTTTGGAGCTGAGGCTTTAACTCAGTGATAGAAAAATTGCCTAGCATATGCAAGGTCCTGGTTTAGCACCAATATTGGAATGGCCACCGCTGTACCAGTGGGAATGTCTCAAAATTACTCATGGTTAGTGTTTGCACAGATATTTTTCCCTTCCTTTCACTTTCAGTCTGTGTCTTTGGATCTAAAACAAGTCTCTTGTGGATAGCACATAGTTGGATCATGTGTTCTTATCTGTTCTGCCAATATCTGTCTTTTGATTGCAGAGTTTAATCCAAAATGCATTAGTGTTTTAAGTTATGTAGAAAACAAAGTGTGGAATTACAAACCAAAGTTATAATAACACTGGCTTTTATACTGATTCTTTTGAAAGTATATTAATCAGGGGCTGGGGATTTAGCTCAGCGGCATAAGCGCCTGCCTTGAAGCAGGCGGTCGAGAGTTCGATCCCCGGTACCGATAAAAAGGAAAAAGACAAAAAAAAAAAAAAAAAGTATATTAATCGCTTATATCATGTGGAAAATAAAAAATGGAATTACACTCATTACAAAACTGACTTTTCACCTATTTACCTTTGTAGAGGTCTTTATTTCTTCTCTCAGCCTCCAGTTATTATCTGCTGCCCTCTTATCTTACCTTGCAGGACTCTCAGAAGCCCACCTGGCCGGGCTAATCTATAGGTATTGAACACTTTCTGCTTTTATCTGGTAATGTCTTAATGTTTTCCTTCTCTTTTGAAGGAAAGTGTTGGCTGACAGTTTTTTTTTTCCTTTCATATTTTAAATATATCATCTCATTACCTTCTAGCCTCTAAAGTTTCTGATGAGAAATATGCTAGTAATGTTACTGAGAATCCCTTGTATGTGACAAGTTGCTTCTTTATGGCTGCTTTCAGGATTCTTTCTTTGTCTTTGTCTTTTAAAAGTTTAATTTTAAACTGAGTGTTATGATGCCCACCTGTCATTTCAGTACTTGGGAGGCTGAGGCAGAAGGATTGATAAAAATCTGAGGCCAGGGCTAGGGATTTAGCTCAGCAGCATAAGCGCCTGCCTTGCAAGCAGGCAGTCGTGAGTTCGATCCCCGGTACCGATAAAAACGAAAAAGACAAAAAAAAAAAAAAAATCTGAGGCCAGCCTGGATTACGAAAGACCCTATCTCAAAAAAAAGTTTGATTGTAATATGTCTTGGGGTGGGTCTGTGTGTGTTCATCTTTCCTTGGTGTCCATTGAACTTCTTATGTCTATCCAATTTGAGAAGTGTTTGGCCAGTACTTCTTCAAATATTCTGTCTGTTCCTTTCTCCTTCCTCCTTCAGGAACTCCAATAACGCATCTGCTGGTCCACCTGCTTGACGGCGTCTATACTCTCTCAGACTCTGTCAATTTTTCTAAACCTGGATAATTTTCATTGTCCTGTTTTTAAGTTTATGGGTTCTTTCTTCTCCCTGCTCAAATGTGCCTTTCAGATTCTCCAGAAAATTTTCATTTTAATTATTGTACTTTTCAGCACCAGAATTTCTTTTTGGTTTCTTGTCACATTTTCAGTATCTTTATCGATAGCTCCATTTTGTTCATACATCATTTTTTGGCTTTTCCCCACATGTTCTTTTAGTTTTGGGGCATCTTGAAGAAAACTGTTTTAAAGTCTTTTTCTTTTTCTTTTTTTTTTTTTTTGTACTAGGATGGACCCTAGTGTCTCACTATGCTAAACAAATGCTATGAGTTATACCCCCAGCCCTAAATTCTTAGGTTTTTAAAAAAACTCCTGGTTCCATTATCACAATTTACAGAACAATATACCTAATGTAATGAAAACAAGCAAGCAAGCAAGCAAGCCAGCAAACCAGGCCTGGTGGCTCACACCTGCAATCCCAGATGGTGGGAATCTGAGGCAGGAAGATTGTTCTAGGGCAGCCAAGGCAATTTGGCAATTTAGGGGGACCTTGTCTCAAAATTTTTTTTAAAAAGGTTGGCAATGTAACTCATGCGAAGGCCCTGTATTCTATTCCCCCCCGCCAAAAAAAGGAAAAATAAACAAGCTAGTTTCTATAGACAGATGACCTCAGGGATGTACAACCAATGACATTACACTGAATTAATCAATTCATATGCTTTTTGTGAACCGTGGTTATAAAAACGCTGAACAAGAATGGTATTCTGTTTAGGTCGCAATGACTTTCCTGACTATGGATCGTTGTTCCTTTTGTGGCAGAGTTTTACAATTCCTCTAATACATCTTGGATGATGTCTCAAAGTAGCCTGCAGCTTGCCTGAAAATTCCTTGCTCTATCTCCTGCTAAGAACCATAACCCTAGGGCTGAGGATTTAGCTTGGTGGTATAAGCACCTGCCTGGTAAACGCGAGGTTGTGAGTTTGATTCCCGGTATAAAAAAAAACAAAAAAAAAAACCAGCCCTCTTCTGCCACATTTAAATCATCCACTGTCACACCCACCCCTTCTACCACAGATCATAGCCACCTCTGGGGACTGTCCGAGCTTCCCCACCAACAGTGCCCCCCTCCATGAGTTCAAAATTTGGCTGCTGTTATCCACTATAATTTCCAAGATTATGTTATTTCATGGCACCACCATCAAAATTTCCTCTTTCATGTGTAACCTTCATATCCCCCACCACCATCACTGTGTCTGTCATTTGGTGTCCCAATCTTGTTCCACCACCACCTCAGCCTA